GGGGGTGGGGGGGGGGGGGGGTAAACGAGAGAGTCAATGTCACAACAACAAAAGCAGCAGACAAGCACAAACTCACAAACACACTTACCCGAGTCGCTAACACGACCGTTAGACAGAAGGGCACAGCTTTGCTCCAATGCGGAGGAGAATTTGTCTAAAATGAAGAAAAAAGTGTTGAAGTAAACTTCATTGTTTGGTGTTATTGCTAACCTAGACTGTCCCTCTACCTCCTCTTCCCCCTCCCCCCCCCCCACTCTACATTTACCTGTAGCCCACCCAGTGGAATTACGTATTTAACACCTCGAAACTTAGCATTTAGGTAATAATTTCTGAATGGTATTAAAATGGGGGGGTTGTGGGGAGTGGGGCTGTTGTATCCCAAATTTTTAAACGCCCCCAATTCAAGAAAACACTTTTCGTGGTCATTGACAGTTTTGATGCCTTAGATTTTATGTGGCCAACTTTCTAGCATTGAGGGTGTTATAGGTAAATTGAGAGGAGGTATTTCGTATCTGCTAATTTAAAAATATTTTTGGGGCAAAAATTTATGGGGCCATTTTTTATCGGTCCAAGTATAGAAATTGGTGGAAAAATTGTATGATATATATTTAAAGAAGAAGGTGGTTCTCCGAACTACTTTCTAACATTCTTCCACCAAAGCAAATCCCGATCGGGTTTCCAAATTTGGGGTTCTAAGCCAGGTTTGGACTACTTCAAACGCCTAAGCTAGCAAGAATTGTGAAAGCTTGCCCAACTACACCTTATAAAAATCTGCGAAAGTTCATTATGATTGTTGAAATTTACATTGTGTCAAGATTGTTATCCTTCATTCAAAATCACATAATTCAATTAAATCCAACTTTGAATATTAATTTGCCATATAGCCAGTGAGTTGGGTTTATTTTTTTCTGATTGAAACTTAATAAACCTTACCGATAACTTTAATGTTAAACTCTGCAGCATTGTGCCCGAAACCATTGACAGCACTGCAGATGTACTTCCCAGTAATAGCTAGACTCTCCGCTTTTAAAGAATACATCTGATCTTCAGAGAGTATCCATGAGGTCTGAGTTGCAGGCGTCCATTTGTAGAAAGGTGCTGTGTAAGGACAGGTGAGGTTGATGACATCTCCGAGATTCACCAAGTATCCTCGCTTATAATCCACTCGATATTGTAATGCACTTTGAGTTGCTAAAAGACGGAAGCATGTTGAATTCACGTGTCAAAAGTTCGTGATAAATACAATGGGCTTTGCGGTCAGTCAAACTTTGAGTCCATTCATGAAGTCCCATTTAAATTCATTTTATAAATGAAATTTAGAGTCACCAAGTCCTCAACTGCAGTAAGCAATGCTATTGGGATTGATACCATACCTTGCTCTATTCCAAAATGAAAACGTTTTTTTTGTCTCGGTATACTCATGAACACCTGATTGTTTTTTGTCGCTGGTCTAAGTAGAATTGTGGATCTCATCCGGTTTTGTAATATTTTAAACATTCCGAAACTGGTCATCTATGAGATTTGAAAATATCTATACTCGGATTTCAATTGTCTCTGTATTTCTGAAGAAGTTTTACTGTGGTTCCATCAACCATTTTAGAAGATACCGCTGTGGATCACAAATCACAGGCAGGAGTTTTAAAACGAGCATAAATGCGCAGGGAATGTAATTGGACCACCGCTTGGTTCCCAAACTTTAAAATATCATTCATGCTTACCCCTTGTCATTCCCATACAAGTCTCCCAGACCCCCCCCCCACTTGTAAAATTCATTTGTTTGAAGCCTATGACATCGAACCCTAAAAATTCGCTTTTATATAAACATATATAATCTGTATTATTTCAATTAAATTAATTCCAATATTCTAATCTAAAGTTGATAAAACGATTGAATATTTGAATAAGCAGCTCATCAAGATGTGCAAATTCCATTTTGCTGAAAAGAATTTCAAAACGTTTACTTCAAGAAATACTCACTGAAATGCTCTTAACCATTCAGTACTATTGGCCATTCAATCGTTGATAAGTGGCCAACCATTAGGGTTAATTAATAGTGATGTAGACATAAATATGGGGATTTCTGGAATCACATGAATCGATCTGACCGAAATTTGCTCTCAACGTTAAGGTACTACCTAATTTTTTTTTCAACTGAGAACTCCTACTTTTCAAAGGGTCTTCAAGGTTATAGATGGATTTCAAAGTATATAAACGAATTTATACTTGAAAACAAACGTTATGCAACACACAGGATTCTAATAAAGGGCATTTTCCTGAGAAACAAATAACTCCGTCTGTCATTGCTACAGAACTTGAAAAAAAGACAAATAAGTGCCTATAACCATTCATGATGGTAACCTTCAGATTTCTGCATAAACTTAATTCATTATTATATTTAAAGAAAACAATATGATTAGATTTTTCTGCTCTTTTTTCATAAATTATTAATCTTTTCTTTCAATTCGAGAGCTGAGACATGGAAGGGAAGAGAGGGAGAGGACAGGGGAACTTATTTTCAAAGTTTTGCTTTCCGGTGAAAAGACGGTAACACAATAATGCCTAATGCTGCTTCCATTGTCAGGTAGATAGTTGCAGATAGATTTGGTATAAATAATGAAGACCCTAAAGGTTTGCGTGTCTGCTTGTGAGCAGAGAGAGCAGAGAGCAGAGAGAAAACTGATGGAACAAACTCCAGTAAGTAGGTGGGGCTCTATGGCAGAAGGAGATTCAACCCAAAAGAAGGACAGAATGACTCTATTGTTGTCTTCGCCCTCATCTCATCTCCTATCAATAAGAATGATAGGAGCCAACGGCACGCCTCATAAATATTCGTCCCCCATAAGAATATCTTTTCTTCTCCCCACCCCCCCTCCCCCAACTCAATCTAATCCTGATTTCTTATTCATAAGAATCCACCCCCCCCCCCCCCCCCCCCCCCACCCCCACCCCCAATTTATGGGGAATTATTATTAAGAGGTGCAATATTGTTTGTTTGTTTCTTTATTTATTGTCGTGACTGGGTGGTTGTTGATGAGACCAGAGAGATAACTAACTCCTAGGTGTTGGGTGGGGTGCGAAGCGTAACCAGGAAAAACTATTGTTTCAAGGAAAGTGAGAAATACCTATTGTGCATTTTGCAGAAAACTTTCTGGCCTTCTCAGCTGTCGTCTGACCGCGGAAGTACGTTTATGCCTTCTTCTTCCTCTTCTTCTCGCCTTTCGAAATGTCTTAGTTTGCATTTAAAATTGCACATTTTAACACTGCTTGATGTAAATCTGAAAATCTGTAGAACGTATGAAGAAAATTCGCAGAAATCTTTGTCTGTTCCATTTAACTAGGCTTACTACAGCTATTACACCAACGTCAAGATATCAAGTAGTTTAAACAACTCCGATGTAAATAGGAAATAATTTAATCAACAGACTCTAAACTAAATTTATGAAAGTGACCACCTTTTGCCACCTCACAACTTTATTTTTGTCCTGCTTAATTCCTACAAAAGTCAAATATAGCTGTTAAAAAAGGCTTAAAAATCGTATTACGATTTTGCGGATTCTAGTATTGGCAAATACGGGTGTGTGTTATCTTAGCAATTAGGGAGGGTACGCATTGTTCTTGGGTGCAAATTGAGGTGTGCTAGTCAGATTTGCAACACTCTCATAGAAGAAAGTGACTCACAATTTTGTTGAAGCGGGCTAAACCGTTTTTTGGACAGGCGATTCACGTGCTTGAAGAGTGAGGAGGAGGGGGGGGGGGGCAAAATGGAAGGGTTGGGGTGGTGGAGAAATGGGTGGATGGAAGACAGCTTACTTTCAATCACTCCTCTAATTATATCGTAAGTTGAATAGTTAGATGACGAAGATAGCACCCGAATGTGATGAGATAGAATTTGCATTCAGCCTTATGCTTATTTATTTGTTTTCTTGACCTTCATAAATACTCGTCAACAAGAGTTCGAGGTAGCATCGCGTGCTATGCAGCTCAGTTGTATCATTTCAGAGAAGTTTTATTTTGTCATTTTAATTAAAGTATCCAGGTGAATCTACTTTTCTTTGAATGGGCAAATATCTATTAACTCAGCGTTACATTTACTTAAGTTTGTTTAACTTCTCTCCAAATGATCAAAAAATCGATGATATGTAAAATGACCACCGCTCAACCATGTGCGAATAATGACATCATTACAGAGAAGAATATGAGTAAAATTGAGCCTTTAATGAACAGAACATTAGGTCAGACTCTAAGTCAATCTACGCGCACTCTCTAACTATCTTCATTTATCTACTCGAGTTGATGGACAGAAACTGCCAATCAATATGTTTTACCTGTGGAAGCTGTTTTCAAATTGTGCAGAATAGTTTCGTTGACTCTTAACGAATGTTTATAAATATGAATGCACGTATTGAAACAAGGATGTGCAGTAGTTAAAACACCTGATTGACAAGTATAAGAAATCTGATTTTTTCACTCTATAATCCGTCAAAAAGCACGTGGACCTAGTTAATGCACAATATCAGGTTAGAAAATAGAAAGTAGATTACTTAAATACCCACCTGTGAGGTATTAAGTTGGTCCAAACAAGCTTATTATAATTATTGAAAGGACGCTCATTTTTGCGAATGTTGGTGCAAACAGTCTTTACAAATTGTCACATTCATTGTAAAACAGATAGCGCCAATTCGCAAAATGCATTATCGACTGAACTATGGAAATTTCTCAAGAGTAAATTCATTTATAACGAGAGACTATGTAGTTAAGTTAATGATTTTAGTTTTTAGCCAGGCTTTCACAATTTTTGTCACTTACAAAATAAATGCAGATTTAGGAACGATTTTTGTGTTTTATTTTAATTTTCTAAATAGAACTAATCTCCCCCACCTTCTCTCGCGCTCTCTCTCTCTCTCGCCTATCATAATCAAGATTAACGGTAATTTTCCGTTGCATTTCGTCGGGAGAAATGAGGGTGTGTGTGTGTGTGTGTGTGTGAGTGAGGGAGGGAGAGAGAAAGGAATAGAAGGCAAGGAGGAAAGGTAGGAAGGACAGGAAGAATGAGCAAAAGTAGTGCACTCTTAATAGACGTCCCTTCCCTCCCTTTCCACCCTACTCTTACTCCCAACTCAAAACAGCCAATAGAGGGCGAAAAAATTTCCAACTAAGTTTACTTTTTTCCACCTAATGTTCGATTGCCAACTGTAATTTTGGGTCAATTTCGAGTAAAGTCAGTCTAAGAGGAAATTAGACAGTGAGAGGGAAAAAATCAGAAATATGAAGCAGTATGTAATACTGATCACTTGATAGGCATCGACTGGTTGACTTTTACCTTTTTTTGCCCAAGTGTTCAACTTTGGGGGAGGGGGAGAGGGAGAGGGATGAGAATTGACTGTCTCGTTGCTATTTAGCAAACGGCAATTTGAAGTCAATTATTTGCCATTAATAATAGACAACAAATTTCGCTAATGTATCCACTGTTTTATTGAATTATAAAGAATTTACAGAACTTTTATCTTACTTCCACAGTCTGATTTAATTTTTTTCGCCTCAGTTGAGTTGAAACCGAGTAATGACAGGGTGACAGGTGTCAGAGCTTGCTTGACAAGAGTGAGAAAGGGCTCCCCCCCCCCCCCTGGCCCCTGCCCCCTCCTTTTACCTTTTTTAGCAATCTCAGAGTTTCAACAACTTTACTCGACACGCAAAAAGGAAACAAATTTCCAAGTTGGATGAAGCAATTTGCGTTGACGCCCCAGAATCACTATCAGATTGGCTATTAAAATTTAAAGTTTTAAGAAATGAAGTATCAAATTTAGTTAGAAAAAAAAATGGTGGAGCTTTGATTTTTTCATAAAAAAATTAAACACAGTCAAGTGGAACAGCTTCCTACTTCCAAACTAACCTAAAACGACTCCTAGACTAGGAATGGTATGAGAGAATAAATCTTCGCTTCTGCTAACCACTTCCATGCACTCTCCAAACCTTGCTAAACTTTTCCCCACCTCCACCCCCACCCCCACACCACCTCANACCTCAACCCTCACCCCCCCCCCCTGTTGTCAAAATTAACTCCAAGAGAAAAGCCAAGTTGTGGTTGTGGTCACTGTCACAACTGCAAGCCAAGCAGGCGAGACCAGGCCAGATTACTGACAAGGACGCCTGTTCCCTCATTTTGGTGTCTCTGGTCTACTCAGAGAGATAACTGGATTAACTTCCCAATCTCCCTGTAGCTGACTGCCAGTTTAAATTAATCTGGGAAGCAACTGGAGGATCGCTTAATGTGTGAAAAAAAACTGGCAGTTTATTTTAATGGAGATTTTTCCTTTATTCGAGTTATTAGAGTGCAAGTAAAAGTACTTGAATTCATGGGGGTAATAAATGCCATTTAGTTTGAGGATTCATTACTTCTTGACCTGACAGTTTTGGGTTAAATTTAAGGTCGTGGAATCACATTTGATCTTTAAGATAAACTAATTAATATCATAATACCTACTAAACATGTCTCTCCCCAAAACACTTTTAATTTACTATTTAGCAGGTAAAATTTTTGCTATAAGTCAAGTGCATTTGCAATTTATATGTGATGAAAAAGCTAAATTAATACTATGTTATGAGTGCAAAATTCAGTTTACTAATAATCATTTACTGCAATTAACCCCTCATCATTGTCAATTATAATGTTTCGAAATGTGGAATAATAGTTTTGATAAGTAGAACTCAATACGATCCATCTCTTAAAT